GTATCTGGGGAGCTGGAAGATGAGAACTGGCGACTTTGTAGTACAACTTTAGTACAACTTTGGAAGCGGCCCGCGCTGCTAATACCACGCCGCCCGATTGCATCGAACTCAGCGGCTACCACGACCAGACTGGCAGGTTTGTTCAGGTGGACCCCCCGCTCCGCATCCCACTGGCGGACGTGTCACCAGATGGCACCCTCGACGCCGCCCAGTTGGCCCAGATGGTCGCCGCCGTGTCTCCGGAGCGGACAACGCAGTGAGAGTCTCCCCGACGCAGAGTGTCACCTAGATGTTCACATGGTAACTGCATGTCTCATACCACGAATTCTTCTTGCGGAAGCACGACAAGTATAGACATAGTGTCGGGGAGTCTCTGCCCTATACAAGGGCTAGTCGCGAGCTGAACGACCAGAGGATACGAAAACATGCGCAGTGCCTGCTATGTGTCACCTCGTGCTACTTTGTTGCATGTTTCTGTAGGAGAGGCGATTGGAAAATGACCAGCATGGTGGTTCTCAATTACATCTAGAGCGAAGCACATGTCACCCTCAGAGCGCCTGTGCCAACAGACTGTGCGTTTTCCGTGACTGACCTTTCGGGGCTCACAGTGACATTGCAGAAGTCTCCATACAACTTGGGCCAACTACAACAATATCAACTCAACAGCAATGAAGAATATACTAGCAAGAAGTTTGAACGCGCCCCACAAGCTTTTGCAATATTCATTTCCCACATAAACCTTTACCAGGCAAACCGAGCCTTCTTATGGCTATGCATGCGCTATTTACTACTTTACAGCCCACTAGCTCGTAGGTCTCCCTCTTTGCCCAGCCATCATGCCAGGGAACCTTGGCATTGTTGACGACCACTTCTTGTATACCAACCTGGATAACCAGAGACAGGTGTGCCTCTGTTGGTCCTATGGAAGCAGGACATACCATGACGACCAGCCAGAGCTCATCCATGAAAGATGGCCAAACCAGTCCATAGCAACCAGATGCTGGGTTGCCCATGGAGAAACCTGGCAGTTTTGGCGAGTGGTCCAGTGGTCCAGTGGATGGGAAGACTGGGTTAGGAACAACAGCCGCAACTTCACAGATGCCTACACCATCCACATCTGCTTCCGATGCACGCGCTAGACCCAACCAACTGTGTGTCTCATGCCGTGACTTCTTCCTGATAAATTCTGTGTGGACGTCGTTCTGCGGAAGCACTACGCTATCCTTGCTGTGTACAAAGACTAGTCGCGAGCCGAACAACGAGAGTGCGCTAAAACATCTACAGTGCCTGCTGTGTGTCACTTCACGCTACTTTGTCACGTTTTTCTCTGAAACAGTCAATTTCTCTGAGACAGTCAATTACTCAATGACAAGCATAGTGGTTGGTTATACTCAAATATCTACTCAACAGCAGTGACGAATATACTTGGAAGAAGGTTCACGCAACCCACAAGCTTTTGCAATCGCACATGAACCAGAGCCTTCTTATTCCTCTTTGCCCAGCCATCATGCCAGGGAACCTTGGCATTGTTGACGACCACTTCTTCAGCGTCAACCAGGATGACCAGAGGCAGATGATTCACACGTTCTTGTTCAGTCTGCAGTGCGGCATGTGGTGATGCAATTGTTGAGATGGCAAAGCCAGCACGCTGGCTAGCATCATAGTCGAAGTGGGTAAGCCAGCACGCTGGCTGCCATTGTCCAGATGGCAAAG